GCGAGGCCCTCCGAGTTTCCAACATATCCTGGGCCGAACAACACGTGGGCGGCCATGCTGACCGAACCAAGACATGGCGACAGATGTCTTGGTGGGAACGACGGAACTCCGAGGTGGACGACATTGCCCAGGGCTACGCTGACGAGCTGATCGCCACCAACGACACGATCGCCACCAACCCCAAGTTCTTCTCCGAACCCTGTGCGATCTACATCAACAACGAGAAGGTCTCCTGCCTGGCCTTGGAATCGGTCGACAAAGCCGTTGTCCTGCCGGAATTGATGGAATACTGGGCAGCCAAAGGCCGCCTCTGGCCGATAGTGCACCAAGCGATGAAGTCTCTGAAGCCTGCCGAACAGCGCTTCATCACAAAACACACCGTTGGGATGTGCAGTGTCAGCAAGTTCGGTAAACGATGGGGTCTCGACTCCGAGAACCGATGCCCCTTGTGCGGACTGGAGGAAGACCCTGCCTACACGTCCCCCGCTGCCCTTCCGCCCGGGCCAAGACCCAGTGGCAACTCCTACTCCAAGAACTCCAAGAATGGTTCCAGTCCACCACCACTGATACACCCATCGCCCAATTCCTTGGGGCCCTTCTTTGCACCATCCGCACCCCTGACAACCAGCCTCGAACAGAGACTCCGTGGTACCGCCTACACGGAATGTCTTCTTCCGCCCTCACCCACGTCTGTGAGGCTCAACTCCGCCTTGGCCCCCAGTGTCTCCTCGAAGGCCTTCTCGTCCACAGCTAGGCCAACCTCCAGCAACAATTCTACCGCTCTCGCGGTAGTCGCCGATCCGGTAACCGCTGGGCTGCCAATCTATCTCCACAGCTCATCCTTATCAGTAAAGGCATGTGGAAGCATCGCAATGATGTCTTTCATTCTGACGACAACATCGTCAACCAACAGCGCGCGACTGCTCTCGATCGACGCATCCACGAAGAGTTTGACTTGGGTCTTCGCGACCTACCTCGGAACCTTCATAGAAAAAAGAAAATCAGAAACGAAACAACACGCAAACACGCAGAACCAGCCAATCTGCTCCGCGTAGCGCTAGTACTGATTATACGTAGAAAACTTTGAATTTATCAACAAACAAACGGCAAA